CATAATTTTAAAGACTATCAAGTCTCCCCTCAGCCTCCGCCACTGCAAAGAAAACAACCCGAGTTTTTCCAGCTTTTCCTTACAGCTCATACCCTCTGATCTAGGCAACATCCTGGTAAACCTCTCTGCACCCTCTCCAAAGCCGCCACATCCTTCCTGTAATGCGATGATCAGAACGGTACGCAGTACTCTAAGTGTGGCCTAACCAAAGTCTTGTAAAGCTGCAACGGGAGATCCTGACTCTTGTACTCAATTCCCTGACCAATAAAGGCAAGCATGCCATATGCCTTCTTTACCACTCTATCTAATTATTCCACTTGCATGGCTACTTTGGTGAGTCAGGAGGCCAGTTACACAATTCTCAGCCTCTGACTTGCTCTAGGAACCAGGATATTTATGAAGTCAGTAATTGTAATGTCACAATGTCATAGGAAGCGAACCACTTTAACGTAAAAGTTTAAATTTTCAAAAAAAAAAAAAAAAAAAAATAGGTTTCCTGCTTATTAACCCAGAAAAATGCAGACTGGTGACAGTGGTCCATCCCTAAAGTACTCCAGCCCAGGCAACATTCTGGTGAATCTTCTCTACACTGCCTTCAGTGTAATCACATCCTTCTGAACATGCTGAGAACAGAACTGCAACTACCACTATCCACAAACATAAATGGATAAGATGGTAAAGAAGGTATATGGCATGCTTGCCTTCACCAGTCAGGACATTGAGGATAAAAGTTGGCAAGTCATGTTGCAGCTGTATAAGACTTTGGTTAGGCCACATTTGGAATATTGTGCGCAGTTTTTTTCGCCATACTATAGAAAGGATGTTGTGACTTTGGAAAGGGTACAAAAGAAGTTTCCTGGGTTGGAATGTATCAGCATTAAGGAGACATTGGACAAACTGGAATTGCTTTTTCTAAAGCATCGGAGGCTGAAGGCGACCTGATAGAAGTACATAAAATTATGACAGGCATGGATAGGGTGGATAGTCAGAATCCTTTTTCCTAGGTTGGAAACAAACACTCGAGGGTATAGGTTTAAGGTGAAAGGGGATAATTTTAAAAGCAGGTGTGCCAGTATAGTTTTTTTTTTTTACAGAGGGTGCTAGAACATGCAGTCAAAGGGAGGTGGTTGAAGCAGATAAGTTAGCAAAGTTTAACAGACATTTAGATAGACACATAGACAGACAGGGAGTAATGGGATACAGACCACGGGCAAGCAAATGAGATCAGTTTAAAATGGCATCACGGTTGGCATAGACATGGTGAGTTGAAGGGTCTGTTCCTATGCTGTACTATTCTATATTCTATGTTTACTGAAGCTAGTAACTTTGCTTCTTTGCTTCAGTACAGGGAACAAATTGTAGAAGATGAGACAATATGAGGAAGTAGCTAACTTAATGCTACGCAAAAGTTGAGATTAGTTAGAATAACAGAATCAAGAATGGCTCAGCACAGAAGAAGCCTATTGTGTCTGTGCTAGCTTTGCAGGAGAAATACAATAAGTCTCAGTCTCCCATCATTTCCCCACAGCCCTGCAAATTGTTTCTCTTTAAATAATTCAATATGCCTTTGAAAGCTGTGATTAAATCTGCTTCAACCACGCTCAGGCAGTGTATTCCAGATCCTAACCACTGACTATGTGAAAAGCTGTGCCTAATGGGAAAATGAGAGGTTATTTGTGGGGAAATGTGAGGTCTTGTACTTTGGCAGAGAGAATAGAGATGCTGAATATTATTTAAATGGAGAAAGACTATAGAACAGTAGAGACAGATTTGTGACCTCTTGTGCGTAATAAAAACAGCTAGCATACAAGCTCAGCGGGTAATAGGGAAGGCACATGGAACGTTGACCTGAATTTTAAAGGGAACAAAATAGAAAAATAGGGATGTCTTGTTCAAACTATTAAAAACACTAGTGAAATCCTTGATGATTTTGAACATCCCAATCAAATCTTCTCTCAACCTTCTCTGAGAATGTCTTCTCAATCATAGGATCCCTACAGTGTGGAAACAGGCCATTCGACTCAACAAGTCCACACCAACCCTCTGAACAGCATCCCACTCAGACCCAGCCCCTACCCTATCCCTGCATTTCACACCCTAGACACTACTGGCAATTTAGCATAGCCAATCTACCTAACCTGCACATCTTCGGACTGTGGGAGGAAACCAGAGCATCCAGAGGAAACCCACGCAGATACGGGGAGAAGGTGCAAACTCCACACAGACAGTCACCCAAGGCTGCAATCGAACCCAGGTTTCTGGCGTGCTAACCACTGAGCCACCGTGCCGCCCTCTTCTCCATTCAGTTCTCATAACTGAAGTTCTTCATCCCTCTTGTAAATCCTTTTTGCACCCTGCAGAAGTCTTCGTGAACTGTCTAAAATACGGTGCTCAATACTGGCCACAACAGTCCAAATCAAAGCCTGAAGTAGTTTTTTTCAAAATCAAAAGACCCATTATAACTTCCTTACTGTTGTACACGCTCTCTGTATTTAGAATCTTATTTGCTTTATTAACCCACTTTCTCAAACTGTCTGACAACTGTCCGTGATTTGTGTACCTGCGCCCCAGCTCCCCCTGTCCTTACAATCCCTTTAGAATTCTACTTTTTATTTTATATTGCCTTTCCTCACACTTCCACCCAAAATGCATCATTTAACATTTCTCTGCAATTAATGTTTATCTGTCACATTTTCCTATTCCACCACCTGTCTGTGTTTTGAAGTTTCTCACTGTACTCACTAGATCAGGAACTGTAGAACAGGAAAAGCAATGATTCAAGTACTGGCCCCGGAGGAAAATAAAAACACTCACCAATACTTAATGCTTCCTATGATTCATCCAACTAAAAATGTTGGAAAACTCATTGAAGGTAATTTAGGCAACCCATAAGTGCAAGAAAACTGCAGTGTTCTAACTAATTTATATGAATACATGAAGGTAGACACACTGGTCTATGTGAACGAGTCCTACCAGAAATGCTGTCTTATTGTTAACTGGAGGAGTTCACAATTATTACTATTCCTTTCCTTACTCTGTCAATCCGGAGGAAGAGTGGACATGTAGAAGATGCACTAGTTTGTTTCAGCTCACAAGGGTTTCTATTTTGCACAAGTAGACACTGGGCAATTTATGAACTGTTAAAAAAACAAAAGATCACAGCTACTTAAAAGAGCTACTGACACCACCCAATCAAAAAAGGGACCTACCCGCTACTTGAATTTCTAACAGCTCTTAATCTGGATCTTCCTCATCAACACGACTTTAGATTTTTGTTGAGGTTCGTCTCGAGCATCTCTGTATTGCAGGACTCTGTGTTTTATGGGCTGGTCCCCAGGTCACACAGACAAACACGGACTGCACCTGGATGACCATCAACTTGGTGAAAGATACTCTGGTCTGCTCGAAACTTGTTGGTCTTCCAGAGCAAGGAGTTGACCTCATCAGAGTGTTGCATATAGGCACTGGAGTATGCAACTTAAACAGTTTTCATTGTATTTTTTGGAAAAATACAAGTGACAACAAATTATTTTCCATTCTGTTCTATTCCAAGGTTCAGGACTACATGCTGAGGGATGCACTAAAGCTTGGGGCAGCTGCCGCCAAGGCACAGAGAGGACAGACTACCATCTAAAGTGTTCCTGCTGAAGTTAAGTGGGGGTACGATCGGCTATTGGGCCTTCACGGTGCCTCAAATATATAGTCATATATTTGTCTTGTGTAAGAAAGAAATAACCTTGGGTTTGTTTGTTCTCCATATGTAACGACTGTACAGAATTGAAGTGCTCAAGTGACTATGTATGTATACAAAGATTTTTTATAAGCAAAGCATATTTTTGAAATTAAAAACATAACAATAGATTCAAAGCTCATGTCTTCATTCAATTTTGTGGTTTCAGTCAATTCGATGTTCCTGTGTGGAGTTCCCCATCCTCAGACTCACCCAATCTGTCCATTCTTTAATGGTGTATATTCATTTGAGGTCCACAGTTGCTAATAGTCGGTTATCTCTGCTTGGCAATGCCATGCTTGTGTTACAGCACAGCACCAATCAAGAACAGCAGACACCCAGATCAGTTATATTTATCTGGAGGTTGCGAGTTAATAATACTTCAGGAGGCTTTGATAGCTGCCCCTAAAATCTGACTTTTCTACCCTGCTAAAGTAACACCATCAACAGTTACAATTCATGCTTAGCATTTACCCCACTGGAGTGTTTTCTGAATAAAGCTAGAATTCTACTTGCATACAATTTGTAAGAAGATCAACTACACTAAAAATGCCTTTGGATGAATGAGAAGAACTTCTGGAGTTTATTATTTACGTGTACACATGGCTTGATGACTTAGCTATTTCTCATACGGCAAATCCAAGATATAGAAACGGAATTCATTACAAATTCATTGCTGGATTTAACGACCTTAAACGAACACAAGGTTTTGAATTTGGCAGAAATTAAGTTAAGTTAAAGTAGGTATTACTGACAGGATTTTTTTTGGGGATGGCAAGTCAATTAACCAAGTCAATTGAATTTGGACAATTACTGAAGGAACAAATTTCCAATGGGAGACAGTTTTGGGCAATTTCAATTATTTAAGGAACCTCAAATCAGTTATAAATGACATTCACCTGAACTTTATTGCTCAAAAATTACTGATTAACTGAAATAACCAGCTTGCTTTCAATTCTGAAATGCAAACAGAAAGTGCTGTTCTGAAAGAACTGCCCTGAAGAGTCAGAATGGACTAAAAGGTTAACTGTTTCTCTCTCTCTCCACAGTTGCTGATTGACCAGTAGAGTTTTTCCAGCACAATGTTTTTATCTCAGATCTCCAGTATTTGTAGTACTTTGCTTTTGTTTTGCTTTCTACTCTGTTACCCAAAATGCTGCTTCTTCAATTTGGGGTCAATTTTCCAGCACACCCTATAAGTGCTTTGGCATTATTATTCTGTGTGAAGGGTGCAATATCAATGTAATCAGTTGTTGATGTGGAAGCTTACAGAAAATGTGTGTAGACTGTGTCTCCCATGAGGCCAGACAGGATGATGTGCTTTTTAGTGATATCGTAGACGGGCAATTCCACACCAACTACAATGGCCGCTCGCTGAGCAGTGAGGCTCACTCCCTGTCAATCACAAAGAGAAAGATATCTGAATAGGATATACAGCACAGCTCCTAACAAACAAACATCACATTTATACCAGCACCATTAAAGGGAAATTGTATGTCTCTAAGTTGTTATCCATCACAGACCTCATCATTAAAACCGTGGCTAATCCTCTTTTCTGTAATGCTCAGGTGTTACAATGTAAAGATGAGAAGTGTTAATCTGCAGGAGAATCTTTGGTGCTTTAGGAACAAAAAATGTACAACACACATTGACATTTCAAATACCCAAAACTTTAACTAAGATCCTGGTTACTGATCTACCTCAACTCCACTTTCACACAGCATTCCAGGGAATAAGGCTCCAGTTGACTCAATCTCTCCTCAAAACACAATATCTAGATCTCATTTTTGAAACGATTCTCAGCGACTCATTTCAGAATTGGAACATTTGTACTTATATTTCCAAACAGTCAAAATAATTTCCTCAAATTCATATAAATATTCTCACCTGTAACCAGAATATTCCTTTATAAATGTAAAGGTTACTGTTCAGTTGAGGAATCTCTTACTTATGGCTTTCCCCTATACAACCTTCCAGGTTTGCAACTGAATCAGTTTGTGTTTAAGAGAGATTGGTGTGGGCTGAATAGTGCTTTTATTCACCATCCCGTCAAGTGCACAGCCAATATTCAAGGATTAAACCTTAAGTATTGCTGAACAAGACACATTTTATCGAAACAAAAACAGAAATTGCTGGAAAAGCTCAACAGGTCTGGCAGCATTTGTGGACAGAAATCAGAGTTGACATTTCAGGTTGACTGACCCTTCCTCAGAACTCCTCAACACTGTCAAACTATTTTTTATTTTGTATACAACAGGATAATTCAGAAGAGTACTGCTATAAAGGGGAACAACATTCTATACTGTATGCTGGGGACTACCGATTGATAGATAAGTTCACTCTAATTGGAAGAGGCATTGCCATGGAGAACACAACAGCTAAATGTCAAGCTTTGTTCAAAATTAAACACGGAGACTGAATCGTTTTGGTCAAGGCCTTGCCCTCAGGAATGAATCAGAAAATGGCTTTCGCCTATTTTGTTGAGATGCACCACGTGCAGTGCCTGTGCACATTTTTTTGTCCAAAAGAACAGGATATTGTGCATTAATAAATATAGCTTACAGTACACAAAACTGCACCACACTGTTTGCGCAGTTGATTAAATCGGTCAAGTACATACTGTTTTGTACACTCAGGATTATTAAGTAAAGGTTATTAAATTGTGGAACTATATCTAATACTGGACATTGTGTTTTGAGTTTGGCAAGCATCGGTTGGTTGGGTACAGTCAGTTCCTTGCTTCTTGCAAACAGCTGATAGGGCAAATTGTTTACAATCTTTTGTAACTATATAGATCATTGTGAAAATAACTGAAAATAAAGGCACTAGCAGTAAATAATTGCTGTCTCAGTCACAGTAGCCCAGTAGAAGTTAACCGCTTTCGGAGACGATGGCAGAAAACTGGGCTGAAAACAGCTTACCCTGATTTACAGTACTGTTACCACACCAGATATTCAATACATACCCTCCATAATCCTCTGGTGCCCTCTTGCTGGTAGATATTAATAAAATTCCCAATCATACTCCCCTGACACAGGCCACTTTGAGCCTGCATCCGAATCTGAAAAGACAACCAAGTGAAGAGTGAAGAATTCCACACTTACCAACTGTCAGCCAAGAGAAGCAACAGAACTGAAGATTGTTCTTTATATCTTTCACTATTTCTTTCAATGAGAATGCATAATTCATCCGTAACATTAGAATAATTCCTCCTTTGTATGAAATTTGAACAGATTTACAATGACAGAAGTGATTTCTTGGAGCTGTTACCATGCCTGTACTGCAGCTCTCTGTGTTCTTATTGGGGTCTGAAGCTTAGCTCCGGAAACTAATATTACACCCGTAGCTCATTTCTGAGTGGTTGCTGTGCCTGTAATTCAGCTCTCGGAGCTGCTTTCAGGCCCACAGTTCAGCTCTTCGAGCCATTACTGTACCTGTAGCTCAACAGCTCCATTTCTGTGCAAACTAGCTTGCAGTTCAGCACTCAAAGCTCAGTGATAATGCACTGTTTTTTTTATTACAGTATTCAAAGTTTGACAACAAGCAGTTCAGCATTAAGCTGAGAGAATTTCTAGCATATACAGCTTTCACTGTAAGATACATGAAAAACTTCAAAACCCCTTAAGGAACAAAAAAAAATTAGAATCTGTCAGAAGAAAAAAACTTAAATTTTACAGGACCTTTCATGTCCTCAGCATCTCCAAAGGCATTTTCCAGCCGATTGAGCACTTTTGTTTGAAGTGCAGTTACCGTGTTAACATAGGGAAACTGCCAGCAATATTGAGCACAAATACCAGTGACAGGATTCACACAATAAACCAGTTTGATGATCCTAGTTTCTGTGTGAAAAATTGACCAGGGGAGAATTCTCCTGCTCTTCTTCAAGCAGAAACTTGGCACTGTCACGTTCACCCAAGAAAGCAGACTGAGTCTCAGCTTAACTGCTGAGTTAACAAACAGCATCTTTGTCTGTGGTTTCACTACCTCAGTCAGGATTATAGGTGAAGTCCTAGTGGGGCTCAAACCCACAACTTTCAACTCAGATGCAACACTGAGCTCTGGCAGGCAATTATATCATCTGGGTCCAGTAGTACATCAAGTGTGGTGAGATGAGGGAGGGAGGGAGGGAGGGAGGGAGAGGCAGTGTGGTGGATTACAGCATAAACAGAACATAAAGGAATAAATAATGGGGACTTGTCAGAAGGGTACAACAATAATCATGGGGAATTTTAATCTACATATAGACTAGAAAAATCAGATGGGCAAAGGTATGTTAAACAAGGAGTTCATGAAATGTTTTCAGGTTAATTTCTTAGAACAGCATGTTCTGGCGCCAACCAGAGAGCTGGCTATATTAGAACCGGTTTTGTGTAACAAACCAGGATTAATTATAGACCTCCTGGTGAAGATGCCTCTATGGAGCATTTTTCATACTATGTTTGAATTTTACATTCTGTTTAATGGAGAGAAAAATAGATCCAAGACTAGTACATTAAACATTAGCCAGGCAATTATGAGGGCACAAAAGCAGAGCGAGCTAAAGTGACCTAGCAAATTAGGTTAAGGGCTAGGTTAATACAGATACAGCAGCAGACGTTTAAAGGCTTATTGCAGAATACCACAAAGAAACATTCCACTGCGGACAAAAAAAAAATCAAGGGGAGGATTACTATCATTGTTAACTAAAAAGTCAAAGCAATTATCAAACTTATCAATAGTAATGCACTTTGGAAGAAGTAGCAATAAGATAAGGGAGTACTCAATGAAAATCAGGACACTATGAAGCTCAAAGGAACCTTGGAGTGATGCTTGTTCACAGATCCCTGAATGCAGCAGGATAGGTTAATAGGTTAGTTAAGGTGGCATACAGGGCACTTGCCTTTATCAGTTGCAGCATAGATTATAAGAGCAGGGTTGTTATATTGAAACTGTACAAAAAACTTTTGAGGCGCCAAACTGGAGTACTGTATGCAATTCTGGTTGCCGCACTATAGGAAGGACGTGTTTGCACTCGGAGTGCAGAGTGAAGTTACTAGGATATTGCACGGGATGGAGTATTTTAGCAATGAAGAAAGGCTGGATAGGCTTGTGTTGTTTACTTTAGAGCAAAGAAGCCTGAGAGAAAACCTGATTGAGAAACTTGACAGAGTATGGACAGTGGGACAGAAAACAGCTGTTCCTCTTAGTTGAAGAGACAGTAATAAGTCAGCATAATTTTAAGGTGAAAGCCAGGAGGTTTAGAAAGGATTTCAGGACCTTTTTTTCCCCACCCAGAGGGTGGTGTGAATCTGGAATGCACTGTCTAGGAGAGTAGTAGGGGCAGGAAACCTGAGAACATTTAAGTCGTCCATGGCCAAGCACTTGAAATGTCATAACATTCAAGGCCATGAGTCATATGTTTGAATGTGGGCTGGATGTAGACTTAGAGTAATTTTGTCAGCAGAGACTTGACGAATAGAAGGGCCTCTTCTGTACTATATAATTCTACGATCCTATGATTAAAATAAAAACACTTATTTTCATGAAGACGAATGGCAGGTTAACAGATTAGACACAATATGAGAAAGGAAAGATTGACCAAAAGAATAACGAGAAGGGAACAAAAGAGGGATTGAGAGAAAGCTAGCCAAAAAAAAATCAAAAACAAATAAATGAGAGTTTTTATAAATATTTAAAATGGAGAAAAGTTAACAAAATTAACTAATTTTGCATCTAAACACGTGGCTACAGGGTTGGTGTAGGAGGGAGGGCTTCCATTGTGTGGATAATTGGAGCACATTCTGGGGAAGATGGGACCTGTACAGTAAGGATGGGTTGCACCTGAACCAGAAGGGCACAAATATCCTGGAAGGGAGGTTTGCTAGAGCTGTACGGGATGGTTTAAACTAGTTTGGCAGGGGGTGGGGAACCGGATTTATAATTCAGAGGATGAGGTATTCGGCATTCCAACAGACACAACAGGGAGTGATAGTACGAACTGCAGATGCTGGAGAATCTGAGATAACAAGTTGTAGAGCTGGATGAACACAGCAGGCCAAGCAGCATCATAGGAGCAGGAAGGCTGACGTTTCAGGCCTAGACCCTTCATCAAAAATGGGGGAAGGGAAGGGGGTTCTGAAATAAATAGGGAGAGAGGGGGAGGTGGATAGAAGATGGATAGAGGAGAAGATAGGTGGAGACGAAATTGACAGGTTAAAGAGGCGGGAATGGGGCCAGTAAAGGTGAGTGTAGGTGGGGAGGTAGGGAGGAGATAGGTCAGTCCAGGGTGGACGGACAGGTCAAGGGTGCAGGATGAGGTTAGTAGGTAGGAAATGGGGGTGCGGCTAGAGGTGGGAGGAGGGGATAGGTGGGAGGAAGAACAGGTTAGGGAGGCGGGGACAAGCTGGGTTGGTTTTGGGATGCGGTAGGGGGAGGGGAGATTTTGAAACTTGTGAAATCCACATTGATACCATTGGGCTGCAGGGTTCCCAAGCGGAATATGAGTTGCTCTTCCTGCAACCTTCGGATGGATTCGTTGTGGCACTGCAGGAGGCCCAGGATGGACATGTCGTCTGAGGAATGGGAGGGGGAGTTGAAATGGTTCGTGACTGGGAGGTGCAATTGTTTATTGTGAACCGAGCGTAGGTGTTCTGCAAAGTGGTCCCCGAGCCTCCGCTTGGTTTCCCAATGTAGAGGAGGCCACAACGGGAACAGCGGATGCAGTATACCACATTAGCAGATGTGCAGGTGAACATCTGCTTGATGTGGAAAGTCTTCTTGGGGCCTGGGATGGGGGTGAGGGAGGAGGTATGGGGGCAGGTGTAGCACTTCCTGCGGTTGCAGGGAAAAGTGCCGGGTGTGGTGGAGCTGGAGGGGAGTGTGGAGCGGACAAGGGAGTCACGGAGAGAGTTGTCCCTCCGGAAAGCAGATAAAGGTGGGGAGGGAAAGATGTCTTTGGTGGTGGGGTCGGATTGCAGATGGCGGAAGTGTCAGACGATGATGCGTTGGATCCGGAGGTTGGTGGGGTGGTACGTGAGGACGAGGGGGATTCTTTTTTGGTTTTTATTGCGTGGACGGGGTGTGAGGGATGAGGTGCGGGAGATGTGGGAGACACGGTTGAGGGCGTTCTCGACCACCGAGGAGGGGAAGTTACGGTCCTTGAAAAACGAGGACAACTGAGATGTACGGGAGTGGAATGCCTCATCCTGGGAGCAGATGCGGCGGAGGCGAAGGAATTGGGAATAGGGGATAGCATTTTTGCAGGAAGGTGGGTGGGAGGAGGAGTATTCTAGGTAGCTGTGGGAGTCGGTGGGCTTGAAATGAATATCGGTTTCGAGGTGGTTGCCCGATATGGAGACAGAGAGGTCCAGGAAGGGGAGAGAGGTGTTAGAGATGGTCCAGGTAAATTTAAGGTTGGGGTGGAAGGTGTTAGTGAAGTGTATGAACTGTTCGAGCTCCTCGTGGGAGCACGAGGCGGCACCGATACAGTCATCAATGTAACGGAGGAAGAGGTGGGGTTTAGGGCCGGAGTAGGTACGGAAGAGGGATTGTTCCACGTAACCTACAAAGAGGCAGGCGTAGCTTGGGCCCATGCGGGTACCCATGGCTACCCCCTTTGTCTGTAGGAAGTGGGAGGAATTCCACCTATCCTCTCCTCTATCCCTCTTCTATCCGCCTCCCACTCTCTCCCTATTTATTTCAAAACCCCCTTCCCTTCCCCCTTTTCTGATGAAGGGTCTAGGCCCGAAACGTCAGCCTCTCTGCTCCTATGATGCTGCTTGGCCTGCTGTGTTCATCCAGCCCTGCACCTTGTTGTCTACAGAGTCAGTTTGGGTTGAGGTCAGGAACAAGAAAGGAGCAGTCACTTTGTTGGGGTTTTGTTTTTTTTTAACAGACGCCTAATAGTGCAGAGAAGTAGAGGAGCGGATTGGGAGGCAGATACTGGAAAGGTGCAGAAGTCACAGGGTTGTAGTCATGGGTGACTTCAACTTTCCAAATATTGATTGGAAACATTTTAGTTGTAATAGTTTAGATGGAACGGATTTTGTCCAGTGCGTTCAGGAAGGATTCCTGACACAGTAT